GTTTGGATACTCAACCACCAGGCGACCAAACCCAAAAGGACCTGACATTTTTGTGCTGGTGGCTCAAGATTTATTCAGGAACAAAGAGAGTGAGGAACTGAATCGGAGCCTCAGTGCAACTGTGAGCAACAATTAAATATGTGTTTTATTAACATGAAGGTAATGGAAACTACAGTTTGAATAATGAATGAATTATAAACCCTCTCTCCCCCCGGCTTGGAGTCAGGCTCCGCCACTGTAAAGCACTCTGAGTCGCCGTCCGGCGTGGAGGGCGCTATATAAATCCAAGTTGTTGTTGTTGAATGAATGAATAGTCCAATTTCGCCTGATTCTTGGTCACTGTGGTTTGTGTCCTCTAACAAATATATTACACACTAAATAAATGTCCTGTTTCGTTAGATCCAATTTCCAAGCCCACTATTTCATCCAATGTCACTATTCCGGTAGAACATAATGACAGTGTGGCTCTGACCTGCACTGCAGTGGGCACTGCCGTCTCATATCTGTGGTATAAGGACAATGATGGTATCTATGTTGACACAAGGATTGCGCTAAGTGATGGCAATAGAACTCTCACTATACCTGGAATTTTAAGGTCTGACACAGGAAAATATACGTGTTTTGCGTACAACGTAATGAATGGAAAGACAAGTGATTCTTATCTACTCAATGTTAACTGTAAGTGACCCGATCAAACACTATTTGTGGTTTCTAATCTTCATCAATTAATTGCCAACCCGCCTGACTAAATTGTGAAAAAGTTCTGCTCACACACACATACGCTGAATACGATTGGCACTTTAGCTGCTTTGCTGTGCAGTCAATGTTTAAAATAGATATTACCATCACGACTTGTACTTTGATTGAGATAGAGGTGGCAATACATTGATACTTGACTAATGGTCACTTTGACGTGTTGTAACACTGGAGCCCATAGGCAACAGCACAAAGTGACCTTTTGTCAAGTGGTGTTAAATGGGCACCTGGTCTTAGCATCAATCTTTTATAGGGTGAGTGGGTGCACACGGACAACTCTTTATTATAATCTTCTCAGTCTGTTTGTGGTTGATATTAATGAGGTCTTAAAGTAATAAGTATAGAAATCACATTTTCGGATATCAGCTTCTTATTTTATTCCATATCTACAACAGAAACATATGGAGAAATCCCTTTCTGGAGTAAACTTGCCGGGGGGGAAGTTTGTTACAAATTATGAAAGCATTCGGCCAATTCGAAATTCAGTAACACATAAAACGATAGATTCATATCGCTTCTCGATTTAATACGTTACAATGTTCAACACTTTGGGTTCTGTTATGCCAAGTTGATAATTACAAGAATAGTGGCCTTTCTATTGAAGCAAACGTTTTATACTTATTTACTTTTAACCTTAGTTTCTCCCAACAGATACCTCCACCCGTAGCACTGACTGTTTACAATGGGTAGTTTTAGATCCATGGTGATCGGCTCCGTTGATGTTGTATAAAACGCTGTAGAGATTGTGTTTGAACCAACCTGTGAATCTATTTTAGATGGACCAGAATATCCCAACGTATCAATCAATCCACATTTACAATTAATTAGTTCAGCATCAACTGTTAATCTCTCGTGTTCTGCGGAATCAAACCCACCTTGTGAATTTCAATGGTATTTCAACACTTCCTCTTTTCTACAAAACGACTCGGACCTTCTCATTCCCAATATTACCCTAAAGAACGTTGGGAATTACACGTGTCAGCCTTTAACAGTGTAACCCAAAGGGATAGTGCAGCAAACATCAGAATCCTTGTCATAGGTACGTAAAATAGTATTGTTACCTGACGTAAAAGCCTTTCTATACTTTATCTTTTAACTAAAAACATCTGTAAGTGGCCTGGCGTGTGCTGTACGACTGAAACAAGATGACAAAGATTGCAATCTGAGATAAAATGAGAAGGAATGTGGAAACCAAAGCTCCATCAGCGCTTGAGAGGATCCAACAGTGGTGGGTAACAACAACAACAACAACAAGATTCCATTTATAGAGCGCCTTTCACGTCGAGAGGACGTCCCAAAGCGCTGGACAGTTGGGTCAGGACCCGAGCATTGGGGGAAATGGTGAGGGTGAGGGGAGCGAATGCAAGAAGTGACATTGACTGAGACCCAGAAGTAGGCAGTTTTGCTTCGCCACAAACTAACTGTCATTTTCTCTTCTGTGTTCATGTGCAATGAATGCACAATACACAATGAATAAGCACTGACTAGTGACTGGATCCCATGATAGCGCTCGTTGGGATTTAATAATAATATTAATCCTTGTATTTGATATATCGCCATATCACGTCTTCGAGACAACTCAAAGTACTTCACAGGATACACTGTGAAGTGAATTGAATGTATAATTTGTGGGTGAAATGTGGCAGACAATAGCACACAACAATGTCCCACAAGCAGTCGTGGATTGATGTGACCAATTTATGATTTTTTTAAGGAATTATTACCCCCGGAAAACCGATCTGCCTATCGGCTAACAACCGGGTTCCTATTTACTGCTGAGTAAACAGAGACATGTGGAGCAAGGAGACTTGCCCAACGTTTCACACTGCCCGGGAATCAAACCCAGGTCTATCGCTTGCGAGGCGAGTGCTCTAACCACTCAGCTACAGGACTCACTAAATTACCAAATTGCCAATTTACAATCATAGTACAATTTACAATACAATTTACACTTATACAGTTACTTTCACGTCAGAAGGATGTCCCAAAAACTGGCTGAACATGGAACTGAGGAGGGGGGGAAGGGGGAAAGATGACCGAAAACTGGATTTGTACATTGGCATTTTGGTGATTCAGTGAGCGAGTGTGTTGAAGCATTAATTTCTCTGAACAGACTTGTTCTATACAAAACCTACAGAAAGATAATGCCAACGACAACTTGTATTACATGCTCACTGAATTTGTTTGTGTCCCTGAACAATATAGTGTGTCAATATTCTGCCTCAATCAGTAGCACTGTCACTCTCACCCATGAATCAGAAGATTGTAGATTTAAGCCCCATATCAGGACTTGGAACTTATATACTTTATGCCGACATTCCAGTGAAGTGCTGGAGGTGTACTGTACGGTTCTCCTTCAGATGAGATGTTAAAACAAGGTCCCATCTGCCTGTTCAGGTGGACCATAAAGATCCCACTGTACAATACAAAATTACATTTGTGTTGCACCTTTCACGTTGGGAGACGTCGTCCTGACATGAAAGGTCCTGTCACAGTGTAGGGACTATTATTATATTTCATGTTAAACCAATCTCCTGTGTTTTGATGGATCGTTTTCGAAGCTGTTGTTACCTCCAATGTCACTATTCCGGTAGAACATAATGACAGTGTGGCTCTGACCTGCACTGCAGTGGGCACTGCCGTCTCATATCTGTGGTTTAAGGACAATGATGGTATCTATGTTGACACAAGGATTGCGCTAAGTGATGGCAATAGAACTCTCACTATACCTGGAATTTTAAGGTCTGACACAGGAGAATATATGTGTTTTGGGTTCAACGTAATGAATGGAAAGACAAGTGATTCTTATTCAATTTTAACTGTAAGTGCTGATTAACAGCTTCCATTTTCTTTGTTGCTAATTATTATTTATTACCAACCCTGGTTAACTGATTTGCATAAAAGAAGCTCAATTTTCCATCTTGTGTGAAAGACATGTGCTCACATTAGACATTTAACTGCTTTGACCACTTCAGAGCTGGAATTGATATCAATATCAATGATTTTATTTGATCAAAAGAGAGTTGGCAATAAATGATAAACATCCTCTCTGCTCAGTGTCTGACCTCTCCTCTGTAATGTTCTGAGACATAATAATAATAATCATTGCATTTGATATAGTGCCTTATCATGTCTTTGAGATGTCTAAAAGCGCTTCACAGAATATACTGGTTGCCTCGTTTCGCCCACAAATATACAGTCAATTCACTTTACAGTGTATTCTGTGAAGAGCTTTGAGATGTCTGGAAGATGTGAAAAGCTCTATATCAAATGCACTGATTATTATTATTAGTCTAAGGGTTGAGTCACTATTAGTTCCTTCAGTATTATTCTTGGATCAGTATTCGGGACGGTCAGTTCGCTGAATGTGGTTATTGATTATTACAGCAAAGTGAAAAGGACTGATACCAATGAAGGAAAACATGACACGGAAACATGGAACTCTCTTTAAGGGGGTCCTGTTATAATGTAGAATTTACTTCCAAGATATGGATTTTCTTCAGCACAAGAAAGGAAGGCTTCGCACATAACAAACATGTACAGCAGCTGATGCAAACTGAAGTGGTGACCCTGAAGTTGGGCTGTTTGTGGTTCAGGAATCCAAGCAGTCACCGTCATGTCATCACTGACGAGCAGCCACTGCTGATCACACTGCGCTATGAGGCAGATTACAGTGTTATGGACTCCAGCAATGCCTTCTGATGGGGTTAGAATTCTCCTGATAAAGGTCCGCTGTGTCAGTCCTTGGGTATGTGGCAAACAGATCATGATACTATAATCATCCTTGTATTTGATACAGTGCCTTATCACGTCTTCGAGACGTCTCAAAGCGCTTCACAGAATATACTGTAAAGTGTAGTGACTGAATATATTGTGGACGAAACACGGCAGCCAAATGCGCACAGCAGTGTCCCACAAACAGTCATGGATTGAAGTGACCAAATTATTAGTATTATTATTTGAAGGAATTATTACCCCCGGAAAATTGATCCACCGATCGACTAACAACCGGGTTTCTACTCACTGATGGATAAACAGAGGTGTGTGAGTGTGTGTGGAGTGAGGAAACTTGCCCAACATTTCGCTCTGCCCAGGAATCGAACCCAGGTCTCTCACTCTGGCGAGTGCTCTAACCACTGAGCTACAGTACTATTAAAACAGAAACCAAAAGAATAACTTTGTCAAAAAGTTCAGCGCAACCACTGGTTTATAATTGTATGATTCTATTATCATTCTATTTACAGAAAATATCACCAGCGTCACCGTAACACAGAACATTCCCAACCCGATAGAATACACTGACACTGTGACACTGACATGTGATGTTAAAGGCACTGTTGAGTCACGGTTGTGGTTTAAGGATGAGAGAGCTCTCCACAGCAATGACAGGATCACAATCTCCCAGGATAATGCCACCCTGACCATCATCAGTGTGACTAGAAATGATGGTGGAACGTATCGGTGTGAGGCAAAGAACAGCCTTAGCTCTGTGTCCGGCAGCCACACACTGAGCATTGCGTGTAAGTACTCAGTCACCTCTCAGAATAAGGCTTCAATCTTATGCTTTACGTTCAGTGGTAATAAAGAAGCCGTTCTTGCGTCTGTTGCAGATGGACCAGACACCCCTGAGCTTACAATCACTGGGACACACTCAGCAGAACTTGGAGACTCTCTAACATTGTCTTGTTCTGCTCAGTCAAACCCAGAAGCTCAGTATAAATGGATATTTAATGGCACCGTTCTGTCACACACAACTCCACAGCTCACCATTGATCAAATAAGCCCGACTGACCGTGGGAGTTACACTTGGAGCCCTGTAGCTCAGCAGTTAGAGCTCTCGCCTCGCAAGCGAGAGGAACTGGGTTCGATTCCCGGGCGGGTCAGGGTGAAACATTAGGCAGAACACACACCTTTGATAGCAGCAGTAAGTAGGAAGTCGGTTGTTAGTCGATTGGTGGAGCGTTTTTCCGTGGATAATAATGTCTCCAAAAGAAAATAAAAATTGGTCACTCAATCCACGACTGTTTGTGGGACGTTGCTGTGCGTAATTGGCTGCTGCGTTTTTCCCACAAAATATACAGTCACTACACTTTACAGGGTATTCTGTGAAGCGCTTTGAGACTCTCGAAAATTTGATAAGGCGCTGTATTAAGGATTATTAAGGATTATTATGATAACCCATGTGAAGGGCATTGTATGAACATTAACATCTGTTGACTTTCCCCTCCAGATTCTGTTGGTGCTCAGGATCAGAGCGCCACCATCGCAGCCATCACTCTCGGGGTTATATTGTTTGTGATCATCATTCTCCTGATTGCTGTTGTCTATAGAAAGCGTAGGCATTCTGCTGGAGATCCCGGTAACTACATCACTTTTATTTGCGGTGACATATAAGTGTATCAAATCCAAGGATTATTATATGCGATTCAATAACTACTTTTAAAAACGCGGTGGACGGGTATTTGAGGAGAACGGGTTTGCAGGTTATGGGGAAAGGGCCGGGAAGTGGGATTGACATTGATTGCTCTATTCAAAGAGCCGCACAGACTCGATGGGCCGAATGGCCTCTTTTTGTGCTGTACGATTCTATGATTCTATGATATGATTATATCAGATACAAGGACTATTATTATATCAAATACAAGGACTATTATTATATCAAATACAAGGATTATTATTATATCAAATACAAGGACTATTCGAAGTGCTCAGAGGCTCAGAGAGCACAAACGAGATCTCGGTCCTAAGGTGATCCATCTGATGGGGTTTTCCGCTCCCCATTGAGGAAAGAATATCCTCGACCTGGAGAGGCAATGTCAATGGATGATACCGGGTATGAAAAATATATGAACCTGTGATGAGAGGGTAAATTAGATAATGGTGTCATTCTCACAACAGGAATCTCTTCAACACGCAATGAGGCACGAACAATCTACCAGAATGAGTCCAGCCATATGGGGAACCAGGTCAGGATAGTTACTAAAACAACCTCTGGTCAACATGGTTCCATCTCACTGTCTGTGGCATGAAGTGAGCAGCTGTTAACTCCCCTGAATCTCGCCAACTGACTCAAATTATTGACTGGATAATCAACTGCCTGAAAATAATTATGTTCTAAAAACTTTATATTTCATGTTCTTACAGGATAATGAGGTCCCAGATCGTCCATATGAGGTGAGACGGTTTATTTCATTCCTTGAGACATAATAATAAATCAGCAATGTCTCACACACAGCCACAAAGTGAAGGACCAATTCTATTTGGGGGATTGTTGGCCACGAAATGAGGACAGAAAAACTGGCAAAATTACCAACAAAACCTCAATGTGCCCCATTGTCTGTGCTGTACTTTCTATGATTCTGAGCTTTTACTAAGAAAAGGCAATTGAAACAAGTTCTCTCTTGACTTTAACAGAGTATAGGACCACAATCTTCAGAGTACAGCAACCTGACAGGTATGTTTGAGGAATATTCTCCAGAACTCACTGAAGAGAGAAAGTGGTGTATAATTGTTGGTCAAAGCCAAGATTCACAGACAGAAATTCCGTCTTTTGTAACAAAAGTGTCTATTGATTCAAGTCAACATCCATTTCCCAAAGCAAATAGCATCTCCATTCAACCCAACACAAAGCACAGCTCTCTGTGTGTTACGGATGTCTGGTTCAGCTTTGCTCTGTGTGAGATAAACCACTGTGATCAGATCACCCTCCTGTCTCTCCAATCCCTGGGCCCGAGTCCTAACCCCCTTCCTGACGAGAGAGACTGCTTCCTGTTCCACCCGATACATACAACACAACATTTACACACGATGGCACTTCACATCGCGAGGACCTCCCAGGACTCGGGACAGTCAGGGATTTGGACTCAGGGAGTGGGTGGGGGTTGGGGTAAGGGAGGGTGGGAGGACGGCCCAAAGTCATGGTCGGCTGAAGAAGAGGGACTTGAGACGGGCCATGAAGGAGGCAAGTGAGGGGGTGAGACAGAGGGACTGTGGGATGGAGTTCCAGAAGGTGGGGGCAGAGAGGCTGGAGCCCGACCGTCGATGGTGGGGTGGTCAGCGGAGGATGTGAAGCAGGTCGGAGCCCACTGAGCGGAGGGAGGGGACAGGTTGGTAAGGGGTTAGCAGGGCAGAGGTAGCAAGAGGGAAGGCCATGGAGGGCTTTGAAGGTGAGGATGAGGATGTTGATCTCTGTCCTCTCAGTGATGGGGATCCAGTGGAGCCGGACGAGGGTGGGGGTGATGGGGTCACGGAGCCTGGTCCGGGGGAGGACATGAGCTGCAGAGTTTGGATGACTTGACACCTATTCTTACAGTTGCTGCTCCCAACGTGTATGAGAACAGGAACAATGTGCAAAGAGCAAAGAACAAAGTGAGTAAAACAATTGTTGGAGAGCATTAATGTTCGAGCTTTGATCGCACTGTTTGTCATGTGATGGAAACACTGTTTTCTCTCCTGAAACTCACCAATTAACTTGTAATCCACTGACCCCACCGGCTTCCCCTCCCCCAGAGGAGACAGTTGAAGATCCTGGTCCTCACTTTCACAGCCCCCCATGGTCTTGCTCCCCCCGACCTCTGCCACCTCCTAATCCCCCACCATCCTGTCCACTCCCTCCGCTCAGTGCGCTGTGGTCTGCTTCTCGTTCCCCGCCTCCATGATTCTATATAATAGATGGCCTGATTTCCTGCCCACTGTTGGCGGGCGCTCTGCCTTCTGCCACTCTGCCCCACCCTCTGCAACTCCATCCCACAGTCCCTCCGCCTCCCCCCCCCTCCCTTGTCCAGCGAGGACCACCCTCCCCGTTAGTCAGGGCTTTGGCTGCTGTGTTAACAGGAGCTGAGGGGGAGGATTCCCTGCCCCCAGTGACTGGTCTGCCCCAGGTCCTGCTGATGAGCCAGGCCGGGCTGTGCTGTCATCACCGGTTCCCTGGGATACTGTGGACCCTCCTGGCTCAGGGACCGGACCAGAGACCGTCATAGAGGGGGGGCTCGATTCTGACATTCCCTAAGGCCGGAGTCCTGTCCACAGACAATGAGCATTAAATCAGTTTTGATTACTTTTAATTATCTTAAAAAAAAGGCCTCTGAGATAGATAGCAATAATAATAATCATTGCGTTTGACACAGCGCCTTATCACGTCATAGAAAACATCTCAAAACGCTTCACAGAATATACGGTAAAGTGAATTGACAGTATAATCTGTGGGCGAAACGTGGCAGCCCATTGCGTACAGCATCGTCCCCACAAACAATTGTGGTTTGAAGTGAACGATTGTTTTATTAACCCCTGAAAAGAGATCCGACATTCGACTAACAACCGGGTTCCTACTTACTGTTCGGTAAACAGAGACGTGTGGAGTGAGGAAACTTGACCAACATTTCTCTCTGCTGGGAATCAAACCCAGGTCTCTCGCTTGCGAGACAAGTGCTCTAACCACTGAGCTACAGGACTCTACGCTAATGATAATAAAAGCTCATTGCACTATAGAATAGAACCCAACGGGGGCATAAACTGGGGGAGAGTTAAACAGAAGGTTAAGTAAATGGTTATTTACATAGATTTACTGGACTGTACGGTGTGGAGATGGGCCTTCAGCCCAACGAGTCTGTGCCAGTGTTTATACCCCACAGTAGACACACAATCCTCCCACTTCTCCCTCTGACTCAGGCAGTGCTCCAGATTGTCACCGTTCTCTGGGTGAAGGAGTTCCTCCTATTCTGGTTGACATCCCTTTGGCGCTAATATACACTTGTGTCCGTCTCCTGGTTACAGACTCCCCAACAAGTTGCAGTTGCCTATTTATGCTGACTTTATCAAACCCTTTTATAATTGTAAACACCTCCATTAGGCCCTCTCTTGAGTGATTCTTCTCTGGCAAAAAACAGCCCAACCTCTCCCGTCTGCCCTAATACCAGTAGCCAACCAGCACTGGTACAATCGGAGTAAACCTTCGCTGTTATCTTTCCATCGCTGGTATATGGACTGTGGAGTCCTGTAGCTCAGCGGTTAGAGTAGGGTTTGATTCCTGGTAGGACTAAATGTTGGGCAAGTTTCCTTCCTCCACACACGCGCCTCTGTTTAACCAGCAGTTAGTAGGAACCCGGCTGTTAGTCGATTGGCAAATTGCTTTTCTGGGGGAAGTAATTCCTTCAAAAAGAAATAAAAAATGTGTCACTCAGTCCAGGCTGTTTGTGGGGACGTCACTGTGCGCAATTGGCTGCTGTGTGTCGCCCACAAAATATACAGTCAATTCACTTTGCAGTACAATCTGTGAAGGGCTTTGAGACGTCTCGATGATGTGATAAGGTGATAATAATAATAATAATAATAATAATCCTTGCATTTGATATAGCGCTTTTCACGTCGGGAGGACGTCCCAAAGCGCTTCACAGAACACACTGTAAAGTGAATTGACTGTATATTTGTGGGCGAACGCGGCGGCCAATTGCGCACAGCAATGTCCCACAAACAGTCGCGGATTGAAAATGACCAATTTATTATTGGTTTTGGTTTTGGAGGATTATTATTAGGCTCTGTGTGGAGTAAGGAAACTTGCCCGAGGTTTCGTGATATATCAAATGCAAGGATTATTTTTGTTTGTGGAGTCCTGAAGCTCAGTGGTGAGAGCACTCGCCTCGCAAGTCAGAGACCTGAGGTTAGGGCGAGACCACAGCTTCCTCATTCCCACTGCCCTCTGTGTACAAGCAGTTCCTCCTAATCTCCCAAATCATCTGTCTATGGTCCTGTTGCTCAGTGGTTAGAGCACTTGCTTTGCATGCGAGAGGATTCGGGTTCGATTCCTGGGCGAGGAGAACATTTTTCCTGACACCACCCACACACACACACACACACACACACACACACACACACATTGTTTACCAGCAGTAAGTAGGAACCCGGCTGTTAGTCGATTGGCAGATCGCTTTTCTGGGGTAATAATACCTTTTTTAAAATAATAATTTGGTCCATCAATCCAGACTGTTTGTGGGACGTCGCTGGTGCAATTGGCGCCGTGTTTCGCCCCAAAATATAGTCAATTGGCTTTACAGTATATTCTGTGAAGCTTTGAGACGTCTCGATGATGCATTGAAATGCATTTGCCATTTAAGTGCCCACTCAGCAAGTTTATTAATGTTTTGCTGTAATGTGTGACCGTCCTCCTCTGGATACTATTCCCCCCAATCTGGTCTCGTCCACAAATATTGAAATTGTCCTTCTGATTCACGAGTCCAAATCATTAATGTATATTGTGAACAACAGTGGATCCCAATCCCCATCCTTGTGGAACCCCACTGCCCACCCCCTGCCAGTCTGAGCCGCTGCCCTTTACCCCTACTCTCTGCTGTCTGTTTTGCAGCAGATTGCTATCCATTCTGCTATTTTCCCCGACTCCACATGCTCTGTGGATGTGTCAGTCCAGTTTCAAACACTGTGCAACAATAAGGTGAACTTACACAGCCTTTCACTAAGATACGGTCTCGGAGACCACCAGCACAGACATGACAGAACACAGCAGGGGATGGGGTGAGAAGAGAGAGCCCCAGTGGGGGAGTGAGCTCCAGCACAGACACGATGGGGAGAGAGAGAGAGAGAGAGCTGGGAATGGAGTTAGAGGAGAGAGCCCCAGTGGGGGAGTGAGCCCCAGCACAGACACGATGGGGAAAGAGAGAGAGAGAGAGAGAGAGAGCTGGGAATGGGGTTAGAGGAGAGAGCCCCAGTGGGGGAGTGAGCCCCAGCACAGACACGATGGGGAGAGAGAGAGAGAGAGAGCTGGGAATGGAGTTAGAGGAGAGAGCCCAGTGGGGGAGTGAGCCCAGCACAGACACGATGGGGAAAGAGAGAGAGAGAGAGAGAGAGAGCTGGGAATGGGGTTAGAGGAGAGAGCCCCAGTGGGGGAGTGAGCCCCAGCACAGACACGATGGGGAGAGAGAGAGAGAGAGAGAGCAGGGAATGGGGTTAGAGGAGAGAGCCTCAGTGGGGGAGTGAGCTCCAGCACAGACACGATGGGGAGAGAGAGAGAGAGAGAGCAGGGAATGGGGTTAGAGGAGAGAGCCTCAGTGGGGGAGTGAGCTCCAGCACAGACACGATGGGGAGAGAGAGAGAGAGAGAGCAGGGAATGGGGTTAGAGTAGAGAGCTCCAGTGGGGGAGTGAGCCCCAGCACAGACACGATGGGGAGAGAGAGAGAGCAGGGAATGGGGTTAGAGGAGAGAGCTCCAGTGGAGGAGTGAGCCTCAGCACAGACACGATGGGGAGAGAGAGAGAGAGAGAGAGCAGGGAATGGGGTTAGAGGAGAGAGCCCCAGTGGGGGAGTGAGCTCCAGCACAGACACGATGGGGAGAGAGAGAGAGAGCAGGGAATGGGGTTAGAGTAGAGAGTCCCAGTGGGGGAGTGAGCCCCAGCACAGACACGATGGGGAAAGAGAGAGAGAGAGAGAGAGCTGGGAATGGAGTTAGAGGAGAGAGCCCCAGTGGGGGAGTGAGCCCCAGCACAGACACGATGGGGAAAGAGAGAGAGAGAGAGAGAGCTGGGAATGGGGTTAGAGGAGAGAGCCCCAGTGGGGGAGTGAGCCCCAGCACAGACACGATGGGGAGAGAGAGAGAGAGAGAGAGCAGGGAATGGGGTTAGAGGAGAGAGCCCCAGTGGGGGAGTGAGCTCCAGCACAGACACGATGGGGAGAGAGAGAGAGAGAGAGAGAGAGAGAGGGAATGGGGTTAGAGTAGAGAGCCCAGTGGGGGAGTGAGCCCAGCACAGACACGATGGGGAGAGAGAGAGAGAGCAGGGAATGGGGTTAGAGGAGGAGCCCAGTGGGGGAGTGAGCCCCAGCACAGACACGATGGGGAGAGAGAGAGAGAGAGAGAGAGAGCAGGGAATGGGGTTAGAGTAGAGAGCTCCAGTGGGGGAGTGAGCCCCAGCACAGACACGATGGGGAGAGAGAGAGCAGGGAATGGGGTTAGAGGAGAGAGCCCCAGTGGGGGAGTGAGCCCCAGCACAGACACGATGGGGAGAGAGAGAGAGCAGGGAATGGGGTTAGAGGAGAGAGCTCCAGTGGGGGAGAGAGCTCGAGCACAGACACGATGGGGAGAGAGAGAGAGAGAGAGAGGAGGGAATGGGGTTAGAGGAGAGAGCCCCAGTGGGGGAGAGAGCTCGAGCACAGACACGATGGGGAGAGAGAGAGAGAGCAGGGAATGGGGTTAGAGTAGAGAGCCACAGTGGGGGAGAGAGCTCGAGCACAGACACAGACATCGTTCTGTGCTGTAAACACAATCTATGATGATATTGTTGATCAGATGTGAAACACAAAGACAGGTTTCCGTTGCTCTCTGTCCCTTCAGCACAACTCTTCCCATCTCCTGACTGTTTATATTCACTCTGACTTTCTTACTGCAGGAACTCGCTGAGGCCTCTGATCCCAATGCCACCTACACGGTGAGAGATGATTCATATTTCATTGTGTGGGATCCAAACGTCCTCTTGTAGCCTCTGCCCTGAGCCCTGCACCATGTGCCAGTGGCCATGAGGGCAACATACCCTCCTCCAGACCTCTGCCAACCCTCTGCTGAGAGCTGCTGCCCACGGGGTGGGTGGGTGGGTGGGTGGGGGGCGGTGGTCAGCTGTGTGTCCATGGTGTGTCAGCACCTGTCTCCTCAGTGCAGCTCACTGTGTACGTGCTGCTGACAGTCACCCCGTCACACTCTCTACCCCAGGCTCCCTGATTCCTGTTCCCCCCCAGCGACCTGCCACACCTTGTGACACGAGTGGGGACCTGTAGCTCAGGGGTTGGACCCCTCGCCTCACAAGCGAGAGGAACTGAGTACGATTCCCGGGCGGGTCAGGGAGAAACCTTAGACAGGTTTCCTTGTGTTTTAATGGCGTGATCAGGCGCTGTATGAAATGCTCGGATTCCTATTTATTATTATTATTATTTGCACCGCTGACTGTTACACCTGTGACATTAGTGACATTCTCTTCCTGTCTTCTCTGGCCAGACTTTACAGCCACATGATCAGTCCCTGTACAGTGACCTGAGAGGCAAAATGGTTGGATAACTGTCTGAACAGACGGGGACTGGAGCCGTGAAGTGCTGATGTGCGGCTTATTCAACCCCAACACGGCCGGGATCAGCAAACCATCTCCTCCCCCTCCCGTTCCCAGCACCTTCTCTTTGTGCAGTTGCTGGACTGGAGTCTGGCGGTTTGTATCACCCACAGTTTGTTTCTCTGTGTTCAAGAACTCTGGAGCGTAATTCTCATGTGGTGCTCACATGGTCCCACTCAGTGATATCATCCACAGGTGTGGGGTAAACTCTATCTCTCTGCCTCCACCCTGGACTCCAGGACCCACTGCTGTCCTGACGGATTGTCTGTCCGGCATCAAGTCCTGGATGAGAGCTGAGTTTCTCCAGTTGAACGTCGACAAGACCGAGGCTCTCCTGCTTGGCTCCCGTCAGCACCTCCTGACCTCAGGCGCTGACAGCATCAGTGTCCATGGATGCCCTCTCCCCATCACCGAGCCGTACAGAACCCGGTGTCTTGTTCAACCTCAACTGTCCTTTAAACCCCACATCCGTGCCATGACCCATTCGGCCTTGTCCCACCTCCGCAACACTGCCGCCTCCACCACTCTCTCTCCCTCAGGCTGCTGAGCCCTTATTCACTCAATCATTAAATCCAGGCGTGACTCTCTCACTCCCTTTAACCCCTCCCTCCCTCCATGGCCTCGCTCCTCACTCGCTCTGCACCTGTTAAAGCTTCACCAACATGTCCTCTCCCTCTGCTCTGCACACACTGACCTGCTCCACGGCCCCCGCCCTCTGGATCTGCATCCAGGAGCCCCTCCACCTCAGCCCCTCACCTGCCTCCTTGGCCACCGGCCTCAAGAGCTGCCTTCTCAATCGTGCCTTCAGTCATCAACTGCACACACCTTACATACACGCTTACACACACACGCTTACATACACGCTGACACACACATGCTTACACACACGCTTACATACACGCTGACACACATGCTTACACACACATACACTTACACACACACATGCTTACATACACACTCTTACACACACACTCGCACTTACACACATGCTTACACACACACACGCTTATACACACACATTCACACACGCACAGACATACACCGCACACACTTACACACACAGAGACATGAGGACACACACACAAATGCAGCAAATGGCCAACATCTAATATATCCACAAGTAATTTTTAATAGAGTTAAATATATTATTAAATATAAGTATTATTTTTATATTTTTATGATAGTTTATGAATCGCTCTGAGACGCTGCCCTGTGCGGAGGGCGCTGTGTCAGTGCAAGTTGTTGTTGTTAGGATTATTAATATTATAACATAAGAATTTGCTCAACGAAAGAAGACAAAGGTCCATCCAGTTCAGCTTCCACTATCCCGGCAGTCGCTTGACATGTCGTGTCCCAAACTGTACACTGTGTGTCTCTCTCTCTGTCTGTGTGTCTCTCTATCTGTCTGTGTGTATCTCTGTGTGTGTGTGTCTTTGTCTGTGTGTGTCTGTATGTGCGTCTTTGTGGGTGTGTGTTTCTGAGTCTGTGTGTGCGTGTTTGTCTGTGTGTGTCTCTGTGTGTGTGTGTTTGTGTGTGTGTGTCTGTGTGTGTTTGTGTGTGTGTCTGTGTGTGTGTGTGTGTGTCTCTGTTTGTCTGTGTGTGTGTCTCTGTGTGTGTGTCTGTGTGTGGGTCTATGTACTATATTTCCACATATTAATTCCTCACAGAAATTTATCTTATTTGTTTTTGAAAAAATTAAAATTTTTGCTTCCACCATCTTAATAAAAAATAAAAATCATTGCCTTTGACCGAGTGTCTTATCAGGTCTTTGAGATGTCCCAAAGCGCTTCACAGAACACATTGTAAAGTGAATTGACTGTACGTTTTGTGCGAGAAACGCGACAGCTAATTGCACACAGGAAATTTTTTATAACACCAACAACCTTGTCAGTTGGTATTGTGAAAGCAATTTCCCAGTCAGGAAGTGAATGTCACATTAATAATACATCCACAAGAATTGTTGATACAACACATGTCACGTCTCAAAGCGCTTCACGGGATACACCTTAAAGTGTAGAGACTGTGTGTTTTGGGGCTAAACGCGGCAGCCAATCGCGCCCGGCGACGTCCCCACAAACAGCCGTGGGTTGAGTGACCAAATTATTATTATTATTATTAACAAGCGGCTTCTTACTTACTGCTGTGTGTGTGTATGTGTGGAGTAAGGAAACTTACCCAACGTTTCAGATTGCAAAGCGAGGTGCTAACCGCTGACTGGGGGGGGGGGGGGGGGATTGATTGCCACACCCCATTGCCAGTACCTTACCATCAGCTGTGAGGACACTTCCCCTCTCCCCCTCCACACCTCCTCCAGGGAACTAACCCGGTGTTGAGCAATATTGATTGTAACAATCAACACTGACTGTAAGCGCTTCACAGAATATACTGTAAAATGTAGTGACTATGTGTTTTGTGGGCGAAACGCGGCAGCCAATTGTGCTCAGTGACGTCCCCACAAACAGTCGTGGATTGAAGTGACCGATTCATTTTTGTTTGAAGGAATTATTACTCCCGGAAAAGCCAATCGACTACCAACCGGATCCTACTCACTACAAAGCAAACAGTGACGTGTGGAGTAAGGAAACTTGCCCAACGTTTCTCCCTGTCCCACCCGGGAATCGAACCCAGATCCTCTCGTTTGCCGGGCGAGGGGTCTACCCACTGAGCTACAGGATCATCACTATCATGGCTTCTCTGCTGAAAGATCACTGCTGGAGCTTTCTTGGATTCCTTATTTGGTAGATTTATCTGCACTCATTTACACAGTCAGGAAACTGTCTCTCTATCACACACTAAACCCTGTACCCCATCACCCACCCCGGCCCTCGCCCTCGCCCTCGCCCTCGCCCTCGCCCGGCCCCACTGGGTCCCTATCACACACTAAACCCTGTACCCCATCACCCACCCCGGCCCTCGCCAGGCCCCACTGGGTCCCTATCACACACTAAACCCTGTACCCCATCACCCACCCCGGCCCTCGCCCTCGCCCTCGCCCTCGCCAGGCCCCACTGGGTCCCTATCACACACTAAACCCTGTACCCCATCACCCCCGCCCTCGCCAGGCTCTGTGTTAGGCTGAGGATTCCGTGTATCCGACCTATGATAATAATAATAATAATCCTCGCATTTGACATAGCGCTTTTCACGTCTTCTCGATGTCTCAAAGCGCTTCACAGAATAGACTGTAAAGTGAATTGACCGTATATTTGTGGGCACACAGTGTGTCCCACAAACAGTCGTGGATTGAAAATGACCAATTTATTATTGCTTTGTTTTGGAGGGATTATTATCAGGCGTATGGAGTAAGGAAACTTGCCCGAGGTTTCGCCCCCGGCCTGGAATTGAGCTCAGGTCTCTCGCTTACGAGGCGAGTGCTCTAACCACTGAGCTACAGGACATTTCAAAGCACTTGATAGAATATCCTGGAATGCATTGCCTGAAGGGGTGGTGGAAGCTGATTTGAGAACAACTGTTAAGCGAGAACTTGATAATTATTTGAGCGAACACCAGCACTGACTCGTTGGGGGAGAGAGAGAGAGCGAGCGAGCGAGCATTGGCACAGACATGGTGGGGGGGGAGAGAGAGAGCGAGCGAGCGAGCGAGCATTGGCACAGACATGGTGGGGGGAGAGAGAGAGAGAGAGAGCAGGGAAATGGGGTTGGAGTTGAAAGTGACAGTGTGGGGGAGCGACCATTGACACGGACACGGTGGGGAGAGAGAGAGAGAGAGAGAGCAGGGAATGGGGTTAGAGCTCTTACAATACAAGCCTTTTGTGCAAATTAAAATGAGGCAACAGTCTACACTGCAGAATTTGGGGGAATAAAACAAGAGCGCCGGTCAATATTGCAGTGTACAAAGCTATTGGGATTGGGCAAGTTTCCTTACTCCACACAGAGCCTAATAATAATCCCTCCAAAAACCCCAAACAATAATAAATTGGTCATTTTCAATCCACGACTGTTTGTGGGACATTGCTGTGCGCAATTTGCAGCCGCGTTCGCCCACAAATATACAGTCAATTCACTTTACAGTGTGTTCTGTGAAGCGCTTTGGGACGTCCTCCCCACGTGAAAAGCGCTATATCAAATGCAAGGATTATTATTATTATTATTATCTCTCCGACCTACTATCCCCTGATGTACCTGCCCATACCCTCCGTCCCTCTGGCTCCGGTCTGCTCCACATCCCCCGCCCCAACCGCCCGACCATCGGTGGCCTTCAGCCTCTCAGCAAACAGTCGTAGTTTAAGTGACCAAAGTTATTGTTTTTTTAAAGAAATTGTTAACCCCAGAAAAGTGATCCGCCAATGGACTAAGGACCGGCTTCATACTTACTGCTGATAAACAGAGGTGTGTGGAGAAAGGAAACTTGCACAGTGTTTGCCCGGCCCGGGATTCAAACCCTGGTCCTCTCCCGTGTGAGGTGAGCGCTCTCACCACTGAGCTACAGGGCTCAAGGTTGAAGACGGCAAAACACAAAGGATATGTCTCAGCACCCCAGGGCGTTCCCGGCACCCCAGGGTGTTCCCGGCACCCCAGGGTGTTCCCGGCACCCCAGGGTGTTCCCGGCACCCCAGGGTGTACCCGGCGCCCCAGGGTGTTCCCGGCACCCCAGGGTGTTCCCGGCACCCCAGGGTGTTCCCGGCACCCCAGCGTGTTCCCGGCACCCCAGGGCGCTCCCGGCACCCCAGGGTGTTCCCGGCACACCAGCGCATTCCCGGCACCCCAGGGCGTTCCCGCCAACCCAGGGGGTTCCCGGCACCCCAGCGTGTTCCCAGCACCCCAGCGCGATCCCAGCACCCCAGCGCGTTCCCAGCACCCCAGCGCATTCCCAGCACCCCAGCGCGTTCCCTGCACCCCAGCGCGTTCCCTGCACCCCAGCGCGTTCCCTGCACCCCAGCGTGTTCCCAGCACCCCAGCGTGTTCCCAGCACCCCAGGGTGTTCCCAGCATACCATGGTTTTCTCTGCACCCCAGCATGTTCCCAGCACCCCAGGGTGTTCCCTGCACCCCAGGGTGTTCCCGGCACCCCAGCGCGATCCCAGAACCCCAGCGCGTTCTCAGCACCCCAGCGCGTTCCCAGCACCCCAGCGCGTTCCCAGCAACCCAGCACGTTCCTGCACCCCAGGGCGTTCCCAACACCCCAGCGTGTTCCCAGCACCCCAGCGTGTTCCCAGAACCCCAGGGTGTTCCCGGCACCCCAGGGTGTTCCCGGCAC